CGCCGAGCTCTACGGTCCCGGCAGGCCGCTCAGCCCGCGGCGCGCCTTCGAGGGCATCCGCTTGCGCTTCGAGAAGCAGCCCTCGGAAGAAGAGGAGTGGGCCGTGCCCCCAAGCCCGCCCAGCCCCGAGGCAGGCACCATCCGCTGCGCCTCGTTCTGTGCCGGCTTCCCCATCCCGGAGTCCCCCGCGGCTACAGCCTATGCCCATGCCGAGCACGCGCAGTCCTGGCCCTCCATCAACGTGAGTGGGAGACCCGCGTGGGTGATAGCCACCTGACAGCTCCACCCTCGCTTCATACTTGATTGGCTGGGCGCCCTTCCTTTGACCTCCCCATCCCTGCTTCCCTTGAGCTTAGGTAGCCTAGATCCTTCACCCCCCCTCTCCTTGGGCCTTTCATTGGCATAGATTGGGGTCTATACCACTAAAACTTGTTCAGGGTTTGTGGTTAAGGGTACCGTCTTCACTGACAGTCCTGGCTTTGATTCCAGACTCCAACATTTAGTAATTGGGACCTAGGACAAGTTACCTATCCCATATGGTCCTGAGTTTTTTCATCTACACAATCAGGACAATGATTACATTATCTAATTTCATTAGAGGGTTCTTAAGCGGGAGGCCATGAGCCTATCGCCCTCTGCACAGGGCCTAAGTGGGGCGCTCAGTAGTAGGCATCTACTCTCATGTTGGTGATAAAGGCCATGCTGACCCTGCGAGCCTTGGGTGACACAGGGACAGGCCTGCCGCTCATCCTGTTCCCTCTGTCAGGCCTCAGAGGCCCTGCTCTTTTTTGTCTGTCTTAGAAGACAATCCTGTCTCAGGGATCTATCATTTCACTGAAATAATGAGTTTCCTGAATGTCAGATCCAACCCTTGTCACCTGGAAGGACCAAAATATATTCCAAAGCCAGACAGAAAATTATTTTTGGTTTGTACATTGTTTGGGATTATCCATTGCTTTGAGTTATCTGGCAGCAGTGTCTTAGTCACTCTGAGTACTTGTCTGGGTCTTGGCTTCCCTCATTACCACAGATGTCCTGGCAGGCTGAGCATACATACCTCTTCAATACATACCTCCTAGGGACCCTATGCCCTGGGTCAGGGAGTAGATGATGAACTGGTGGGAGCTGGTGTGGAAAAAGGGTGCCCAGACCCCTTCTGCATGTTGCAGCCCTCCCTGTCCTGGGTCCCAGGGAAAGGGCAGGCTGGGCTGTGGGGACGGTGAGGGAGGGTTGGAGACCATCAGTGTCTTCCCTCTCTCCCTACAGCTGCTGATGGAGACAGTGGGCTCTGACATTCGCAGCTGCCCCCTCTGCCAGCTGGGTTTCCCTGTCGGGTACCCGGATGATGCCCTCATCAAACACATTGACTCCCACCTGGAGAACAGCAAGATCTAGGGTGCCTCCCCCACCCAATGGCTGTTTCTCTGCCCTCTCCTATCACCCCCAAACACTCACTTTGAATGCTGCATGAATCTCGTGGGGGGCCGCTGCCCTCTGCGACCCCCAGATACCTCCACTAGCTACCGAGTCAACATGTGTGCCATCTTCCCTGGTCCAGGCACCACTCAGCCCTGGCTCTTCCCAGGAGGTCAGTCGAGGCTCTCCCCAACTCCCTCACTTCCGCTGGGAGGTGGGGATCTGGGCTGGGACAGGGAGGAACGTACTCCACCCAGCCTCTCCCTCTGCTTTTCTGTTCTCAAACAGGGTTGGATCCAAGAAGATGTCTAGTGCTTGGGCCTGGGGGCGGGGGGAAGGTATCAGAGAACTCCAAGAGCTCCCCCAGCCCCCTTCCCAGATATCCATCTTTCTCAGGCTGTGCTCTGCCCAGGGAACACCTCCTTTTGGGGTCTCAGAGCCTGCCCTGAACACTGATGCCAGTTCTTCCATCCTGTGGCCAGCTCAGGGCTCATGGCATAGGCCCCCA